TGTATCATCCGCAAATTTAGCCACTTCACTGCTTACTCCCATCTCCAAATCATTAATGAACAAGTTAAAAAGCAGTGGACCAAGTACTGATCCCTGCGGTACCCCACTGCTTACCACCCTCCACTGAGAAAATTGCCCACCTACACTCACTCTCTGTTTTCTATGAACTAGCCAGTTTTTGATCCATAAAAGGACTTGTCCTTCTATCCCATGATTTTTGAGCTTACTTAGGAGCCTTTGATGAGGAACTTTATCAAAAGCTTTCTGGAAGTCAAGGTAAATAATATCTATTGGATCCCCCTTGTCCACATGTTTGTTCACCCCCTCAAAGAACACTAACAGGTTAGTGAGACAAGATCTTCCCTTACAGAAACCGTGCTGAGTCTGCCTCAATAGGTTTTGTTCATCTATGTGCCTACTAATTCTTTCCTTAATAATGGTTTCCACCAATTTACCCGGTATCGACGTCAGACTGACTGGCCTGTAATTTCCCGGATCTCCTCTGGAACCCTTTTTAAAGATGGGAGTGACATTAGCTACCTTCCAATCCTCAGGAATGGAGGCAGATTTTAAGGAAAGATTACATATCTTTGTCAGGAGATCTACAAGTTCACATTTGAGTTCTTTCAGAACTCTCGGATGTATGCCATCTGGGCCTGGTGATTTTTCAGTTTTTAAGTTGTCTATCAGTTTTAGGACCTCCTCTCTCATCACCTCAATCTGACTCAGGTCTTCCAACACCCCTCCTGAAATCAGTGGTTCTGGAGTGGGCAAGCACTTCTCATCTTCCACAGTGAAGACGGAGGCAAAAAATGCATTTAGCTTCTCAGCCATTTCCCTATCATCCTTCAATACTCCTTTTACCCCTTGGTCGTCCAAGGGCCCCACTGCCTCCCTGGCTGGTTTCCTGTTTCTAATGTATTTGAAGAAAGTTTTATTGTTGGTTTTTACGTTTTTTGCTATATGCTCCTCATATTCCCTTTTTGCCTGCCTGACCTCAGACTTGCATTTTATTTGCCATAGCCTGTGTTCCGTTTTATCAGCCTCACTGTGACTAGCTTTCCACTGCTTAAAGGAATTCTTTTTACTTTTTACAGCCTCCATTACTCTGTTTGTTAACCATGCAGGCTTTTTCCTATACCTGTTTGTGCCTTTCCTAACCTGCGGAATATATATTTTTTGAGCTTCTAGGATCGTAGTTTTAAATAGATCCCAAGCTTCCCCAATTGTTTTGACCCTTTCTACTTTTCCTTTCAGTTTCCTCCCCACGTGTCCCCTCATATCAGAGAAATTACCCCTTTTAAAGTTAAAAATGGTTGTGTGAGTCTTTTTGGCCAATTCTCTATTTGTACAAATGATGAACTCAACAACATTATGATCACTGTTTCCAAGCGGTGCAATCACTTTTACATCTCTCACCAGGTCTTGAGTGTTACTTAGGACCAAATCAAGGATCGCCTCTCCCCTGGTAGGTTCCGTGACCATCTGCTCCATAGCACAGTCATTTAGAGTGTCTAGAAACTCAATCTCTTTTTCCCGACTAGAACACATATTGACCCAATCAATGTGTGGGTAGTTAAAATCACCTATTATTACACAGTGTTTTTGTCTAGTTGCTATCTTTAAGGCATTCATCATTTTATAATCCTCCTCTATCTTTTGATCTGGTGGGCGATAACAAACTCCCAGTGTTAAGTTTCCTTTTGGCCCCCCTATTTCAACCCATAGAACTTCCAGAAGCGAATCCAATTCACTTAGCCTCTCAATCTTTCTAGACTTTATACCCTCTCTGACATACAGAGCTACCCCACCTCCAACCCTTCCCCCCCTATCCTTCCGATATAATATATAACCGGGAATCACTGTGTCCCACTGATTTTCCTCATCCCACCAAGTTTCAGAAATACCCACAATGTCTATTTTTCCCTCCGACACCAAGCACTCCAACTCCCCGATTTTACCTCGGACACTTCTAGCATTTGTATAGAAACAGCTGTAATTTCCCTTACAAGTTAAGCCTGCATCCTTCCTCTTGCTATCTCGAGTCGTTGTCCGGCAGTCCATGTCACCAGCCATGGCCTCTGTGGACAATTTCAATCCACCTCCCTGTAGAAAAGCAACCGGTACCCCCTCACCTCTCTCAGATGAGCCAACCCGAACCAGAGACTTTTCATCTCCTGTCGGCTTTCCCCCAATATTCAGTTTAAAAGCTGCTCTGCCACCTTTTTGATTTTAAGTGCCAGCAGCCTGGTTCCTTCTCGGGACAAGTGGAGACCGTCTCGCCTGTACAGCTCCCTCTTGTTCCAAAAAGTATCCCAGTGCCTAACAAACCTGAACCCTTCCCCCCTACACCATCGTCTCATCCACGCATTGAGACTCCTGATCTCTGCCTGTCTCTCCGGCCCTGCGCGTGGAACAGGTAACACTTCTGAGAAGGCTACCTTGGAGGTCCTGGACCTAAGTTTCCTGCCCAGCAGCCTAAATTTCTCCTCCAGGACCTCACGACTGCATTTCCCCACATCGTTGGTGCCGACATGCACCACGACCACTGGCTCCTCCCCAGCACTATCTACCAGCCTATCTAAAACACGCGTAATGTCCGCTACCTTCGCACCAGGCAGGCAAGTCACCATACGGTCAGTACGCGGGTTCGCCACCCAGCTGTCTACCTGCCTAAGGATCGAATCACCCACTACCAAGAGCCCCCCTCCCACCCTGCTCAGGGATGGTTCCTTGGTGCAAAAGGAGAGCCGCTCACCAGCTGGGGAAGAGGTCCCTTCTGAGGGCACATTCCCCTTATCCTCAGCATGGTGCCCTGTTTCCCCTAGACCCTCATGCTCCCTGACAGCAGCGGGGCTGCCAGATCCAGAGTGGGACGAAGCTAACAAGTCCCCGAGAGTCTTTTCTGTGTGCCTAGCTGACTGTCTCTGCTTCTCCAGGTCAGCCACCTTGGCCTCAAGGGAGCACACACGTTCCCTGAGAACCAGGAGCTCCTTGCACCGAGGACACACCCAAGACTTCTGCCCAGTGGGCAGATAGTCATACATGTGACACTCCGTGCAAAACACTGGATAGCCCCCAACCCCCTGCTGGCATTCTGGCTTCATAATTCTTTTAAAATAAATAAATATAATCCCCCTTTTAAACCCTTGGTATTTATGTGGGTTTTGTTATCAAGTCAAATTATTTTACGGGAAAGACAAAGAGCCTAGGGCCTTGTCTTTCTGGCTCTTTTTGGGCTTCTTACAGCGCCCCTAGTCTAAGAGTCCCTAGGCTAAGAGCCACAGGCAAAGAGCCCTTTAGCTCACCCTTCGGCTCGTGCCAGAGGCTCGTGCCTCTGCCAAGGTGTTTCCTTAAATAGAGGCCTCCCCCAGCAGAGGTCAGGCAGCAGCTATTCAAATTCAAATTCACCCAGGCACTCAATCACAGGCAAAACAATGCCCCTTCCACTTCCTCTCAATTACAGGCAATCCCAGTCAAACAATGCCCGTTCCTCTCCCACACTCAATCAGCCAGGACTCTGCAAGAACTCTAAGTGCTTCCACACACTGCTAAACACAGTTTTCCCACAAAATATCCTTAGCTGAATTCTCTCAGCTGAAAGCAAGTAAAAGAAACCCACTCACCTCTCTCACAGCTCTCTTTCCTGCTCTTGCTCAGAGCTCAGCCATGTTGGTCCGTGCCCTCTATGGGAGTCGTCTCCAACCTTTTTAAGCCTGTGGGCATCTTTGGAATTCTGACATTGACTGCCAGGTACAGCCATAAAATGGCTGCTGCAGCTTAGCTTTGGTTATAGTGATGATCCTTGTACTGCAGTGGCAGCAGCTGCTGCTGAAGCAACATTTAAAAAAATCTGCACAGCCAACCAAATCTCCAGTAGATGCTCAGAAGCCTTGCTGGACCAACCCCCCTACACCTGCCCCCCCCTTCAAAAACACTTGGAAGGCACCAGAAAAGGTATTGGTTGGAGCCACAGCTCCCAGAAGAATGACACTGGAGCCCCACATTCTAGATCAATTAATACTAATACTGCAACTACTATCATGTGGAGGCCCATGGAATTTGTTGTTGATATTAAAAAGGGGTCCTTATAGTAAAATGTTGGGAGCCAGTAACCTTGTAAGCAAGTGCCAAAGTTACTAGTCTCAACCTTGGTTTGGCACCATCCCATTTGACTCCACTCCAAAAAATATGTGCACAGGAACCATGGTCTGAGTGAGAACTTAAGAAAAACGAGCAGAACTGAACAGTTTTGTATGCAATTACTATTAGCAAAGTAGAATAAAGTTTCCAGCAAACATTGGTCAATATATATGTTTTCCAAACATCAACTTGCATTAGTTACAAAATAACAAAGCCTTGCATATCACACTATGCAAGCAATGCAATGAATTCATGACAAAAAATTGTCCAAAATCTATACAGAGAGTGATGATTGTTAACAACAAGACCGGATAGCTCAAACAATTAAAGATGACTTAAGTGTTCCGGTATGCGTGGTTTCCAATGTTCTTCCTCAGAAACCAAAGTCTTCAGTGTTCAAAAACAAGCACCCAGCAGTCTTTACTAACATCTTGTACATTACTGTAAAACTCTCAGTGATGAGACAAAGTAGCTCCTCCAGTTCGTTTCTTATATTGACCAATGTTTGTTGTAAACTTTATTCCACTTTGCTAATAGTTATTGCATACAAACCAATTTGCATGATTCTCCAAAATATACAAAGGCAAAAGGCAAACTCCCACCTGACTTGAGTCAAGTGGAAAGTTGGGACATAAAGATTTTAATAAATTTACTTCCAATATATTTAGATTTGTGTGTCTTCTTCTACCCATATGTTAAGTACTTTGCAGAAGGCCACAACTGTCCTATCCTTCCCCAAATTCAATACAAAGGAACACTTCCCTCCAGCCCCACCTGAAATTTCATCTTTTGATGTAAAGCAAGCAGGCTTTTATACAGTTCTATGTACATTCATGAAATGCTACTAGAAGACTCACCATTCTCTCTTTTAGTGCTAGATTTTCACTCCGGAGGAAAGCAGATTCCTTCTTGGCATCCATGGCAACTGTTTCAGCATCACTGAGAGACAGTTTCATTTCATCCATCGCTTGACTTGAAGTTCCCTGGAAAAAATTAAAACGTGGATAAGTTATATATTCACACACAAAAACTCCAGGAATCAAGGAGAATGAAACTGGTTAAATAAGATTTTGTGAGTTCAGCAGGCTTTAGATCTAAGCACATTTTAGCAGCTAAAGAATCATGTGTTCCTGTAAGTATTGTTTAAGAGACAAGAACCTCTTATAGAGGTGATCGCTCAGGCAGAAGAAACTGGAAAGGTACTTCCCCTCCCTAGATGACTTTTTTCAATTTTGCGAGGCACTGAAGAAATGCCTTTTAACTTGTGTAAAATGCCTTTTAAGGTTTTACTTCTTCCTTTTATGTACCTATGAAGACTGTGTCTTGTGTTGGCTTTCAAACTAGATTTTGGGCAACCCTGGTGCAACACCACAGTTAACCAGGATTCCCCAGTGAGAAGACAGCAGTATTATTAAAGCATGATTGAAGAAAAAATACATGATGGGGGACGGGGGACACACACATAGTGAATCACAACTGATACTCCCCAGCACCCCATTTGCCAGTGGGAAGGGTTGAGTGCTCTTGGTCCAAACAGGGCAACAGTGAAGACCCCAAAGGCCTAGCCAAAGAAAGCCCCATACAAAGTTAGTCTGCATCTTAAAATGCTTTACAGAATCTTATACAGCATGGAGTAGCTCCAGGCAGGCAGAAACTACTCTTAGACATGCCAACAAGAAAGGGGTTCCCGGGTGGCAGGCACTTTGAAAATGCTTATTCTTTGGGGAACTCAAATCTAAGCCCCCCCCCCCCACGGGGTGAAAGACTAGCTCTAAATCCCCAGACCCAATGTAGATTTTCCAGTTCATCCAACTAATAATTCAGGCTTACCACTGGGGATGCATCTTTGTTCCTACTGCCTGTCTTCCGAGATTCTTCCAAAAGGTTATTTAGCTCAATTATTTGTTTTTCCAGTGCTGTTACTTTGTCTTCTCTTTCCTTGAGCTGTAACTCTTTTGACTTCAAATTAGCCTGTAAAGCAAGGAAAAACAACAACAAATGCTAGGAAATAGACATGGGAAATCTAGATACAGTTAAAACCAGAAAGCTGAAATCTTATGGTCTATCTAGTGTAATGTGAAAACTGAAACAGACCACGGTGCTTTGCTAGCCAACGGAGGGAGTGGGGTGGGGAAGAATAACATGCTCATTGTTTTGTATTACATGCAAGGCCGTTGCCAGCAGCTCACCTGGAGATCTTGATTGTACCCTTCAGCATTTGCAATTACAGCGCTTAAGCTGGAAATTTCATGCATTAGTTGCATCTGTGGAGCAATTGAAGTAAAATCGTACATGCCGTTAGGAAGCACCCTTCCAGCGGTCCGCCTCACCCCAAAAGCAAGGAAGTGCTGCACAGCTTCTCTTCAGATCCACTGAGCCGTTAGGAAATTAAAAAAGAATGAAGCTG